GGTTCTCCGCGGCGGCCAGCCGACGCGCATCGCCATCGCCCGCATCGTCGCGGAAATCCGCACGCCTGCCCCGCCGCCGCGCGCGCGCCACCGCTCGGAGCTGGGCATCCCGCGCCACACGGAGGAGCCCCCGCGTCGCGTGCTCTCCGCCGCCTCGGGCCCCGCTCCGCGCCACCTCGATCGCCGTTCGCACCTGCGCCGCCGGCGCCCGCGCCCCGAGCCCCGCTCCGACGGAATCGTCCGCCCCGGCCAGCCCCACGCCTTCTACGACACCGAGGTCGACCACCACTGGCGCCTCCCCATCGGAAAGGCCTTGCGCCGCGCAGACATCGTCTCCGACCCGCGCCCCACCCGCTGGAGACACGGCCCGGCTAGCGAGGGCGATGCTCGAGCAAGGGGCGCATTCCAGGTCGATCGCACCGACCGCCGCGATATTCCCGCCGTGTGGGGGCGCGGAAGGACCGCAAGGTGGCGTGGCTTGCTGGCGAGGAAGGACTTGGTGGATGGCGCGGGTGAGGCGCTGCAGAACTGCTCCGAGAACGGCGACGAGCTTAGCCCGCGCAGCTCGTTCGATATCGAGGAGGCCAACTCGCTGTACTCGTGGGACGAGCCGCCGAGCACGTCGGTGCGCGGCTGGCGCTCCAACCACTCGCTGAGCTTCCGCCCGAAGAAGAATGAGCGCCCAAGACACATCCGCCTCATCGGCCGCCAAAAGTGCATCAACGACCTCACCAACATCGTCGACGCCAGCTGCGAGCCGTGCGTGTCGTACGACCGCCAGATCTTCGACCCTGTCAGCAAGCTCTGGACCTACGTCGAGGCGTCGCAACCCAGCTCTAGTCCGTGGGAGCTCCCGTCGCAGCCGAGCTCGAGCCCGTGGGATATGCGTGCCGTCGGCTCCCCGGTTACCTGCTCCGTGTCGGGCACGGAGGAACCCTTCAGCGGCGGCACGCGCTCGCGCGCGCTCGCAATGAAGACCGACGCGGCCGCGCAGAGGGGGAAGCCAGCGGAAGCCGCCGCGTTTCGGAGGAAACCTAGCGTCGAGGATACGGAGCGTGCATTCATGGCGTCGAGGGACCAGTGGCTCGGCTACTCGCGCAAGTCAGTGTACGGGCCGGCCAACTTGGAAGCGGTCATTTTTGCATCGGAGATTGACGAGGAGGTGGAAGAAAGTGGGCGGCGGCGAAACCCCGGGGGGTGACGGTAGCGGAGAGAGGTTTATTTTTTGTAAAGCTGCCTCGCGATGGGGAAGTGGCGCCCGGTGGGAGCCAAGTCTAGATACGGGGGAAGGGCGGGTGTATTTACAAGGCGGAGGAGTGTTTGTGGAGTCGGATTTAGTCGCCGTTGCGTCCGGATTCTGGTGAACGTCTTTCGTAAAACTAGCCAAAGCCTTGAGCGCCACCGCTCGTGTGTTACTCCCGTGCCCTCGAAGCCCTTTCGCCCGCTTCCCGCCGCTGGCGCTCGTCGACGAGGCGGCACACAAGCTTACCGATCTCCTGCCGCTTCGCCTCGACATCCGCGGGTGACGGCGGCACAGCATCAATGTACAAGTCCGCGATGCGGCTGTTGTCCATATGTTGGCGCACCACGTCCTCTGCGAAGATGCACAGGTAAGCGCCTACACACGGTATCGAGAAAAGGTCGTACGATCTGCGGTTAGCACCTGCGCGGGCGGCGCGCGCTCTGCGGCACGGGCGCGGGATGTGGCAACATACCACAGTCGTAGCTGTTCTGCTGCAGCGGAACGTTGAGGGGGACGCAGGGCGCGCTTGGCAGCTGCATGAGGCGCTGCAGCTTTGCGGCGAGCGCGGCGGCGAACGGGCTGTTGGCGCAACCCGCGAGCGAGTCGAGGTGGAAGAACGTCCCCGTGCACCGCTCCAGCACCAGGAGGCTCCAGTGCGTGCCGCTGGGCGCCGCCACGGCGGACGGGTCGCGCGCGAGGCTGTCGTTGACCGGCAGGAGCGCGAGCTCGGCGTCGCCGAGCGACACGTCGCGCAGGATGCCGCGCGCGTCGGCGTCTGCGTGGGGGGGGGTGGGGCGGGTGTCGGCGTGCGCGGGTTTTAGTGGCGGTGGGGGGGGGG